AGGGTGGCTTGGCCGTGCTAAATTGTCCCGTAGTGTCCGGGGATGTGTAGGTTAGGGTGGCTTGGCCGTGCTAAATTGTCCCATAGTGTCCAGGAATGTGCAGGTTAGGGTGGATCAGCCATGGGAAATGCAGGGATAGGCTAAGGGGAGTGGGTTTGGATGTGAGGGTTGGTGTAGACTTGACAGGCTGAATGGCCTCTCTGCACTGTAGACATTCTATGATTCTGACTGCTTCTGACACATTAACATCCCTATGTAAGTACGGTGACCAGTCCTGCACGCTGCACTCCAGATGTGGTCTCATCGATGCTCTGTATAACCGAAGCATAGACCCCTGCTCTTGCATTTCAATTCCCCGCACAATAAAACAGAGCATTCAATGGGCTTTCCTGAGTACTTGCTGTACCTGCATACTAACCTGCTATCAGTTACACACCAGGACACCTGAAACACTCAGTATCTCTGCTCTGCATAACAGGCACTTTTTATTCGTTCTGCCAAAATGAACAAGTGGGTGGTCCCTTGTGTTTAAACTCTGACCCCCCTTGGAACATCCTTTCCACCTCCACCCATCAAGCCCCCTCAGGATTTTATATGTTTTAATTAAGCCACCTCTGACTTTCCCTTGTGTTTCATTGACCTTCTACCTTTGCCCATTCAGTTAGCCTGTCTATATCCATTTGTAACCTCCTTACTGTCCCCTTCACAACTTTCCTGCCTATCTTTGCGGCATTAGTAAATTTATCTAACCTCCCCCATGCCCAGCACAGACCCATATTCTACCAGCTTGAAAACAAGAGATTTATTTCTAAACTGTGCTTCCTGTGAGGCAGCGAAGCTTCCAACAGCATGAGCTTTTATTTTCCATTATAACCTTTCATGTGGCACCTTATCAAACGCATTCTAGAAATCTACATACAGTGCATCCTCTGGTCCCCTTTATCTACAGCACAAATTACAACTTGAAAGAACTTGAATAAATTAGGTAAACATGACTTCCCTTTGATAAAACCATGCTGACTCATCTTGATGACCTTGAACTTATCCAAGTGCCAATGTTATCCAATGTTATATTTAATAACAGCTTCTATCATTACCCCTACGACAGATGTTAAGCTAACCGGCCTGTAGTTTCCTGCTTTCTGCCTTCCTTTTCGGATAAAAGAGTTACATTTAACTTTTCCAACATAAAGGAACCTCCCCCCGAAATCTAAAGAGTTTTTAAAAAATTAAAACTGATGCATCAAACTGTTTCACGGGCTCCTTCTTAATTCTGGGGTCTCGGTCAACTCGCAGATCCAACAATTTGCTTCCCTGGTGTCTGTAGTTTCCTTGGATTCCTCCCTCCCCTTCAATTCCTGGCTATTGCCAGGATGCCGCTTGCATTTTCTCTTGTGAAGACCAACGCGAGATATCTGTTTAATGCCGCTGCCATCTTCCCTCATCCTCCACTACCAACTCCCCGGGGCTCATTTTCCGCAGCGCCGACACTGACTTTGTCAATCTTGTCGTATTTGGCTCCCAGCCCATCGCCACACCTTATCAACTAGACGGGATCACAACTCTTGTGGTGTAATTTAAGATAATGAGAGTGCTTTGCTGTTACCGCTGTGAACGAAATGGTTGCGGCCCTTCTCTCTGAGGGATTGAGGGAAGGAGTCGGCATCGGTGGGGGGGGTGGGGTGGTTACCCAGAGCCTGTGTGGTTTGGTTCCGGCTGGCACCCTGTTGATCTGTCAATAAAGGTCCTTCCCTGCCCCCAACCCACCCCACCCCACCTCAGGGTGCTCAGGAACGCTTCCCAGCCAGTTCAGTACTTTGTTAAAGGTTATGTCATGAACTTCACAGAGTCAGATGGATGGATGACTTGGACACCCAGTAACCAGTCCTGTGACAGGATTTCTAGCTTTGCAAGTAAGGTCAACACAACTGTGACTGACACTATTTTAGGCAACTTACACTTTGGACTAGAGAATGGAACATTTCCTCTTTTATCATTAAAAATGACCAAACCACCCTTTCAACAGTTATACACTGTTCCTTAAGACGACCATGAGATGTAGGAGCAGAAATAGGCCAAGTCTGTTCTGCCATTCGACAGTTGATCTGATCACCCTGTACTCCACTTTCTTGGCTTTTCTCCATAACCTTTTACTGCCTTCCTGATTAAAAATCTACCTCAGTCTTGAATGTACTTAATGTCCCAGTCCTGACAGCCCTCTGCGGTAAATAATTCCACAGGTTTGGGGCAGCACGGTGGCTCAGTGGTTAGCACTGCTGCCTCTCAGCGCCGGGTTCAATTCCACCCTCGGGTGACTGTCTGTGTGGAGTTTGCACATTCTCCCCGTGTCTGCGTGGGTTTCCTCCAGGTTGCACTGGTTTCCTCCCACAGTCCAAAGATGTGCAGGTTAGGGTGGATTGGCTGTGCTAAATTGTCCCATAGTGCCCAGGGACGTGTAGATTATGAGGGATGGGTTTGGGTGGGATGCTGTGAGGGTCGGTGTGGACTTGTTGGACCAAAGGCCGTGTTTCCACACTGTAGGGATTCTATGATCCATGATGATCTTCACTACCCTGAGA